TCAATGTGCTTAGTCCGGGATTGATAGGTTGAATTCTTCGCAAGATGGATTGCGCTTTGATTGTCACAACCCAACTCGTACTTGTCTTGATCATGACCGAGTTCCATGAGGAACTTCTTCATCCACAACATCTTTTTACTTGCCTCAGTAGCGGCAATGTACTCAGCCTCAGTTGTAGATAGTGCAACACATTTCTGAGGTCTTGATTGCCAGGAGACAGCTCCTCCGGCAAATCTCATCATGTATCCCGTCGTCGATTTTCTCGAGTCGGAATCTCCCCCTAAATCAGAATCCGAGTATGCTTGCAACTCGGCTTTTCCTTCTCCAAATCAGAGGCATAAGTTGGTCGTATCTCAGAGGTACTTAAAGATCCACTTCACTGTTTCCCAGTGCTCTTTGCCGGGCTTTGACAGATACCGTCTAACCATTCCAACAGCATACGCTAAGTCGGGTCTAGTGCAAACCATTGCATACATCAAGCTTCCAACAGCGGATTGGTACCAGACCTTCATCATCTCATCTTTGTCTTCATCAGATCTCGTACATTGCTTCTGGTTCAGCTTTATATGTCCGGCTAGGGGGTGCTCACTGTTTTGACTTTGTCCATGCTAAATCTCTTCAGAATCTTCTCAATATACTTCTCTTGAGTTAGCCACAGTAGCTTCTTTTATCTATCTCGGATGATCTTGATTTCGAGAATCTGCTTTGCAGGGTCGAGGTCCTTCATTGCGAAAGATAAGCTCAACGCCTTCTTCAGGGCGGCTATCCTCGATTTATCTTTCCCTACAATAAGCATGTCGTCAACATATAACAACAATATCAGAAAATCTCCGGCCTCATACCTCTTCAAAAATACACAGTGGTCGGCTTCTGTCTTCTCAAACTTGTGATTAGTCATGAACGACTCAAATTTCTTGTACCACTGTCGAGGTGCTTGCTTCAAGCCATAGAGGCTCTTCTTCAATCGACATACCAAGTCTTCTTGGTTTGGAGCTCGGAATCCCTCAGGTTGCTCCATATAAATTCCTTCTTCTAAGTCACCGTGAAGAAATGCCGTCTTCACGTCCATTTGTTCTACCTCGAGGTCCATTGAAGCCGTCATGGCTAACACAGTTCGGATTGAGGTCATTTTCACCACAGGAGAAAAAATCTCCTCAAAATCTACTCCTTTATTTTGATTGCAGTCTTTCACTACAATCCGGGCTTTGTATCTCGGCTTCTTCCTGTTCTCTTCATTCTTAATCTTGTAGACCCATTTATTTTTCAGAGCTCGTCTTCCTTTAGGCAACTCGGTCAGCTCATAAGTCTGATTCTCGTGCAGAGACTTCATCTCGTCTTGCATTGCCTTTTCCCATTCTTCTTTCTCTTAGCTCGTCACAACCTCATCATAACTCTGAGGCTCACCGTCTTCAGCAACAATGATGTATTCATCAGATGGGTATCTTGTAGAGGGTTTTCTTTCTCGAGTTGGATATCTCAGTTATTCTTCAGCTTGAGAACCCGGTTCATCATTCTCATCCCGGATCTCATCATCAACTCGGACCTCAGTGTCTTGGTCATCATTTTCTTCATTTTCTTGATTTTCTTCCCCTGCTTCAGCTCGGACAGGAGGGATGGGTTCTTCACGTCTCACAGTAACCTGGACTTTGGGCTTCGAGATGTCATGAATGTTCTCATCTTCATGAAAGATCACATCTCGGCTTCTCACTATCTTCTTATTGATTGGATCCCAAAGTCGGAACCCGAACTCACATCTCGGCGAACCAAGATAGATGCATTCTTTTGTCTTCGCATCAAGTTTTGCCCTTTCATTTTTAGGGATATGCACGAAAGCTCGACACCCAAACACCTTCAATTGATTATAGGCCGCTTTTCGACATGTCCAGACTTCTTCTGGAATTTCTTCTTCAAGTGGCCGTGATGGTGAGAGGTTGATCAAGTCAACATCAGTTCTGACGGCTTCTCCCCACAATGATTTTGGTAACCCGGCATTGGATAACATGCTTCATACCTTCTCCTCAATAGTTCTGTTCATCCTCTTAGCCAGTCCATTCAACTGTGGAGTCTTTGGGGGCGTCTTCTCAAGTCGAATCCCGGCCGCTCTGCAGTATGCATCAAAAGGGCCGCAATACTCACCACCATAATCAGATCGGACCACCTTCAATTTCTTGCCAGTCTCCCTTTCAACCATAGCATGAAACTCTTTAAAGGATTGGAGTACCTAGTCTTTATAATATACCCACACTTTGCGGGAATGGTCATCAATAGATGAAACAAAGTACTGACCTCCTCCAAGGGATCTTTCCGACATGGAGCAAACACCAGTATAGATGAGGTCAAGAATATACCTGCGTCGTCTGCGTTGATCCGGTCTCACAAAAGAAACCTGGTGCTGCTTTCCAGCTAGGCAGTGCGTGCAACTCTCCAACGCTTGGCCTTTCAACCCGCTCAATGACCCTTTTTTTTTTCAGGATTTGGAGTCCTTTCTTGTTCATGTGGCCGAGGCGCTTGTGCCATAGCTCCAAGCTAGGTTCATCTCGGACAGAATTGGCTTCTCCGCCATTGATCTTTTCTTGCATCACGTACAAGGAGCCTTCCTTCTTACCTCGGGCCACGACCAAGTTTCCCTTGGCCAGCTTTCGTCTAACACTACCGAAGTAGTTCACTAACCCGACATCATCAAGTTTGCCTACCGAGATTAGGTTCAAACGCATGTCAGGTACATGCCTCACATCCTTCAACACAAGTCGGCATTCAACATCTGTGGTCAGAGTTACATCACTGACACCAACAATCTTGCTGGTCACCTGATTTTCCATCTTCATGACTCAAAAATCACCACCTCGGTAAGAGGAGAAAAAACCTTTGTGTGGAGTAACGTGGAAGGAGGCACCAGAGTCAACAATCCAGGTGCAATCATCATATGCAACATTCAAATAATTATCCTCGCCAAGGAGGAATATCTCGGCATCAGGATTGGCAGCCACCGCAGTGGTGTTCTTGTCTTCCTTCTTCTTGGGAATAATCTAATCCGGCTTCACAGAGCCGTTCTTCTCATCATTCTGCAAGGTCCAGCAGTCACACTTCTTATGACCTGTCTTTCCACAGTAAAAGCACTTCAACTCATATCTCGACTTTGACTGACCTCTGGACTTTCCTCTTCTAACACGATCTCGACCCCAGCTTGCTTATACCTCGGGAGTCAGATTTCCCTCTGTTCTCTGCAACGTTGGCCTCAGACGTGCTCGAAATACCTCGTTCTCTTCTCCTGGCTTCTTCGCCCAGGAGGCTGTCTGTCACGACATCCATCTTCAATATTTCATCTGGAGTCAAATTATTCAGGGTCACCACCAGAGTATCCCAGCTTTCTGGCAGCGAGCTCAACAGCAGCAAAGCCTGCATTTCGTCATCAATTTTCATCTCAGCCTTTGACAGCTGATTTACAATACCTTTGTAGGTGTTGAGGTGTTCAATCATGCTCTTGCCGTCCTTGTATTCAAGCTTCACAAGTCGGCGAACTAGGTGTGCTTTGTTCCTGGGAGTCTTCTTCTGAATCATGGACTTCAACTTCGTCCACAACTCATACGCGTTCGTGAACTCGGACACATGCTCAAAGAGGCTCTTGTCAATATATTTTCTGATCGTAGCTACCGCCTTACGACTCTGGATCTGCCACTCCTTATCGGTTTTGCCTTCCGGTCTCTTATCAAGGATAATGGGCTCATGTAGGTCTTTGCAGTAGAGATGATCTTCCATCCATCATCGGTCTCCAATAGGTGAAATTGTCTGCGGTCAGCTTGAACATGTCTCCATCATTGGTTATGCCACTGGTCTCCATCTCGTCTCCCTCAGAACCCGTCGAACTCGGGCTCTGATACCACTGTTGGGAACTCGATTCCCTCAAGCTCGGCTTCTATAGCCTTTTGCGGAAGTCAGTCAGCAAGATCCTGATCTCGGATCTCGGCAATACCTCGGCCTGAACTTCACCAGATCGGGCAGCGCAGCGGAAAAAATCAAAACAAAAACGGGAGAGAGAGAGGAGAGAGAGAGAACACAAGCAGTTTTTAACGTGAGAAAACCTTCTCCAATGAAGAAGTAAAAACCCACGGGACTAGCAGATCAAAAATCCACTATGAAAATAATGGTTACAATGTGGTGGTTAACTCAACCTCTCCAACAATGGTGATAATCAAACTACCCTAGAGATGTTTAACTCAAACTCTCTCTAGAGATCTCTCAAATGCAAAGCATAAAGCTTTGCTCAAACTCTCAAATTTTTTTCTCTCATTCTAACCTAGCCTCCACCCACAACTAATGAATATATAGAGGAGGTGAGATCTAGGGTTTAAGGGAAACCCCTCAATGGGCTTGGACTTAGCATGAAGGAGGAAACCCAACAAATACGACATTGGGTTCTAGTAATTTTTATTTTTTTAAAAAAAACAATGGATCTTTTTTGTTTATGCGATAGATATTTGCTTTTTGCCCTAGAAAAAACAAACTCATATTTAAAAGAAAAACACGTGTGCTGTTCTGCCCATGTCAATGAGATTGATTTATTGTAACCATAATTGGTCGTTACAATATCCTATCTTTTATATATATATATATATATATATATATATATATATATATATATTATATTTTTGAAGTAAAAAATATCATATTATATATTTTTTAACTATTTATTAATTATTTAATTAATTCAATTTAAATCGACTTTCTCTAAAAAAAAAAATCGGATTGAAAATCAAAAATTAAACTGGAACAACTTCTTACCCAATTTATCTGCATGTTTATGGTTAGCATAGTATATTGTAAGAAGGTGATAAACATTTATTGATTTACGGGTATGATAAATAAATATTAAAAAAAAAAAAAAGAGGGAGGGAGGGAGGAATAGCGTAAGGTTAAACATCAAACATTAGAGTGTGGCGGTGAGTCTATATCACTTCACTCATAATCTTCTTCTTTTTTCCGTTTTATTAACACTAACATTACTTTCTTCTTCCTCGCTCTTCTCTCTCTCTCTCTTTCTCTTTCTCTGTTTGACCCTTCTTCTTCTTCTTCTTCTTCTCTTGGGTTTTTGTTTGGGTTTGTTTGGGGTTGGAGTAGTAATAACAATCAACAATGGCGAAGGTGTTGGCGATGAAGCTCGTCTTCTCATTCTTCATCGCCTTCGCTTCTCTCTCTCCCTTCCTCGTCAGATCTGACTCTTCAGATCACCGCTTCAAGGATGGAGATCTCGTCCCTCTCTATGCCAACAAGGTTGGCCCTTTTCATAACCCCAGGTACCCGATCTCACTCATTCAATTATGCTATTACAAACCAATGCACTTTGCTGGATCTGTTGCTACTTAAACCCCAATTCATTTCATTTATTTCTGAATCTGGATCACTAATGACCAGTTTAATGAATTTTTATTAAAATCACTGTTTGAATTTGTTGCAGATTTATGAATTATAGTATATAAGCTGATATATTTGTTGACTTTGTGTTTGTTTTGATTTACAAATTATATACTGATGTATTGATATGTTTGATTATAATGTGTTTCTTTTTCTTTTCTTTTCTTTTTTTGTTTAATCAGTGAGACGTATCGTTATTTTGATCTGCCATTCTGTTTGCCAGGTTGGTTTTCTTCACCTCTTTCAGTGTTTTTTTTTTTGTTGTTGTGTTTTTTTTTTAGGGTTTAGGCTGCTTAATTTGTTTGAAGGGAAACCTTGGTGGCACAATGGTTTGTATTGTTGCCATGTGACCCGAAGGTCATAGATTCAATTCATTTAATTAGTCTATTGCAAATGCAGTTTAAGGCTGCTTGTTATAGACCAACATAATAGGTCTGATCTTTCTTTGGACCGTGCGCATCGCGGGAGTTTTATAGCATTAGGCTGCTGCCCTTTTAATTTGTTTGAGGGTTTGGTTGCAGGTGATTTGAAAGAGAAGAAGGAAGCTCTTGGTGAAGTTTTGAATGGGGATCGTTTGGTTAGTGCTCCTTATAAGCTTGAGTTCCAACGGGATAAGGAGTCTGTGGCGGTTTGCAAGAAGACACTCAAAAAGGAAGAAGTGGCACTGTTTCGATCTGCTGTACGCAAGGACTACTACTTCCAGATGTACTATGATGACTTGCCTATTTGGGGTTTCATTGGGAAAGTTGATAAGGAGGGGAAAGACCCCAGTGATTATAGATACTACCTTTACAAGCATATTCATTTTGACATCTTTTATAACAAGGACCGCGTCATTGAAATCAACGTACGAACGGATCCAAATGCTCTTGTTGACCTTACAGAGGATAATGAAGTTGATGTGGAATTTTTGTATACTGTAAAGTGGAAGGAGACTAACACTCCTTTTGATAAGCGGATGGACAAGTACTCTCAATCATCCTCGCTGCCTCATCATCTGGAAATCCACTGGTTCTCAATTATAAATTCATGCGTGACAGTCCTCCTTCTAACTGGTTTTCTTGCAACTATTTTGATGCGGGTCCTTAAGAATGATTTTGTCAAGTAAGTAAGAAGCATTTATTACCTGTGTTCTTTGGTTGCCTATTGACAAAGTTAGGGAATCTCTGTTCTTTTCTTGCTGAATTATAGATGTTACCCCTCTTTGACTTCTAAATAGGTATGCCCATGATGAGGAATCTGCTGAGGACCAGGAAGAGACTGGTTGGAAATATATCCATGGAGATGTATTTAGGTTTCCCAAGTTCAAGTCTATATTCGCAGCTGCCCTTGGCTCTGGTTCCCAACTGTTTACCCTGTAAGTTTTTCTGGCCCCTTGAGATGTCTCTATTACAGAAGCTCGTTTCAGGAAAATTAAATTGTGATATTATTTACTAATTCATCTAAACAAACTGAATTTATGCATGCAGTACGGTATTCATATTCATATTGGCACTTGTTGGTGTATTTTATCCTTACAATCGAGGAGCTCTATTTACTGCACTGGTTGTCATATATGCACTCACTTCTGGAATTGCTGGCTATACTGCAACCTCATTCTATTGTCAACTGGAAGGAACAAACTGGGTATTTACCTCCAAATCTTCTCTGCAATTTAGTCCAGTGCATTTTTTTCCTCAGTCATCAGTGGTTTTATTTGTCCTTTTTTTCATAACAGGTTAGGAATCTGCTATTGACTGGATGCCTTTTCTGTGGACCTCTGTTTTTGACATTTTGCTTCCTGAACACTGTTGCAATTGCTTACAATGCTACTGCTGCCCTCCCATTTGGCACAATTGTTGTTATAGTTCTCATATGGACGCTTGTTACGTCTCCTTTGCTTGTTTTGGGCGGGATTGCTGGGAAGAATAGCAAGGCTGAATTTCAAGCTCCTTGTCGCACAACTAAATATCCAAGGGAGATTCCACCTTTGCCATGGTATCGCGGAACAATTCCTCAGATGGCAATGGCAGGATTTTTGCCTTTCAGTGCTATATACATTGAACTTTACTATATATTTGCCAGTGTTTGGGGTCACAGGATTTACACTATCTACAGCATCCTGTTCATTGTCTTCATCATTCTCTTGATTGTTACTGCTTTCATTACTGTGGCGTTGACATACTTCCAGCTTGCTGCTGAGGATCATGAGTGGTGGTGGAGGTATGAAATTTACTATTTCTCACAAATTTCTTTCCTGTCTATTCATATGATTGGATGTTTATATTCCTCGTGGCTAGGTAGTGAGTGAGATGTCAACTGATTTCTCAATTAACTGGTATAACTGGTATGATGATGGATGGATATTGGATTAAGTGGTCAGAATTTGGCTCCTCTTAAGTGAGGGGTGCTCTTTAGAGGGAAGAGTATAGAATTTTAAATCAATGGCTGAGATTGTAATAAAATACATGCACAAATATATAACAAACCATGAGGTTGTTAAAATACACTCCCCCCCCCCCCCCAAAAAAAAAATAAAATAAAATACGGTTGTAATTCTGTACTTTCTCCTCTATAATACACCACTCTCACTTTGGAGGAACCAAATTCAGATAGTAAATATGAAATATAATTTTATTTAATCTCTTTATTATTACAGATATAAATATTTTTCCAATGAAAATGAGTTATTACAATAGATCAAAATGCACGAACTTCACAAGTCACTTCAATGTTGGAACTTCATAATTTAATTGGCTTATTCTTTATTTATTGTTTGTAAAGTTCTGGACTCATGAACAAGTATGGATAAATATTCTCGCTTTCATTTTTCTATTTGTGTTTCTATATATGACCTTCATGCCTCCATTCCATTGAAAAAAATGGACTCTCAAGAGTGCAAGCTTTCTTGCTTTATGCATTTCTTTACTCATTATCATATTTTTGGAATATGCACTTATGAAATGAATCACATTGAGTTCCACAAGGCCTGAGTTTAAGTAAAATTTATACCTGTGTTATTTTCTTACAGATCATTCCTATGTGGTGGTTCAACTGGCTTATTCATCTATGCCTATTGTCTGTATTACTACTATGCGCGCTCCGATATGTCTGGATTCATGCAGACCTCGTTTTTCTTCGGATACATGGCCTGTATATGCTATGGTTTCTTCTTGATGCTTGGAACTGTTGGATTCCGGGCATCTTTGCTCTTTGTTCGTCACATATACCGATCCATCAAGTGTGAGTAGGCATTTTGTTCTCTCACGTCCTCTAGAGCTATTTTCTTCATTTCATAGGCATTCTGTAGAAAATTATAGTAATTTTGCAGTTCTTTTGTGTAATATAAGGGAAGCTGGGTTGGGTGGGTTTCTGGCTTCCAGAGCTACTTGTTGGATATCACAAAGGGTACTTTTGGGGATAACGTCTGTACTACCATCTCTTTAACAAAACTCTTGCAATCCTTCTTTTTCTTTTTGGTCTTTTTGAACTTGCTACATCATTTCAATTTTCTAGCTGTGTCAAAACAACTACATTCTACACAATGGAGCGTCTCTACTTAGAATTTGAAAGTGTTATAAATTCTATTGGATATCACACCAGTACCAATTTTGAGACACAAAATGCTTCACAAATTCAAGCATTACAGAGTATCAAACTTTAACACAGAATCATGAATACTGAGGTAGATTTTCATTCCCATTAAAACAATTATAAGTTCAGACTACGACCAAATCTAAGCAGGTAGCAAAAAGGGTTGAAAAGACATATCCTTCTATCGCGGTCTTATAAGCTAATGAGCAGCTAAAAGATCAGTTGCGGTCATTGGCACTCGGCAGAATAAAGCCCCCCTAAGTCCTAACCCTTTTGGTTGCTGCGGTTTGAGTTTTTTTCATTTCACCAGCGTATATAACTCTGTTAAAAAAAAGCAGTTATTAATATATCTCATAAGTATTAATATCATTATTTTTCTTTTCCATATTATTAATATCAAATTCAAAAAACAAATTATAATTTCAAAATTAATTTTTTTATTTAAATTATATAATTTAATATAATTATATATTTTTTACGTATTACATTTTTGAGAGTCTTGGATAGTGGTAAGGAAACAACCTCCTTACATTAAGGTTGTGTTTAATTGAATCCTAACAAAGTTGAGGAGCTTTGTGGATTGAAATTTGCTCTTTTAATAACCCCTTAGTCTTTTTTTTTTAATGTATAATATCGGATAGGCTAACCAATTATAAAGGCCGAAAAAAATAAATACAAACCTTGCCTAACCTATTAAAAACAAAAAAAGAAGAAGGCTAAAATATTGCTATCCACATTTATCAGTATCTTATGATACTCGATATGATTTATACGATACAATATAATTTACAAGTCCAGCGATACGTATTGTGGGATATATTAGAAATGAGTTTGTATCAAAAGATACTGTATCTTATGATACGATATGATACATGTATCACACGATACAAAGATTAAATCAAAATTTATAATTTTTAATATAAAAAAAGAAAATTTGATTTGAGATTTAACTTAAAAAAATAATAATCTAAAAGGATCTTTTTTGAAAGAGGATGATGGATTAGTTATGTCACTGATAGATATTGATAGTGATAGTAGTGATAATATTAGTCATAATAATTGATGAGTAGGAGAATAATTGGTTTGTACTTTAATTACTTATGTATTTTGCTTATTGGATTCTTTTTAGAATTTGAATTTATACGATATTAATTATATTATGTATTTTTAAATTACTTGTTAGATGATGGTTATACTTACAACCTATTTTTATTTACAACCTTTTACAACCATAATCTTAACCGTCGATTTCCACCAATCAACGGTTATCATTTATTGGGAATTAATAGTTAATTAATAAATTTAATTTGCGAAAATAATAACCGTTGATTGGCGGAAATCAACCCGTTAAGATTATGGTTGTAAACAAAAATAGGTTGTAAGTATAACCTTCATCTACTTTTTATTATATTTTCGTATCTTACGAATCGATACGATTCACGATACAAAAAATTAACAAAACGATACACAATACGTATATCAATTCGACAACCTTGTTGCTATCTACTTTGACAATGTTTAGAATTGGGTATGTAACTAAGTAATTTGAGTTAGTTATTTTTTTTTGGTTGGTATTTAGAGTTAGTTATGTTTTAGTTTTAGGTGTATTGAGTATTTTTTTTTTTTTAATGATTTTCAAAAAGATTTTGATTTTAAATCAAATTTTTTTAAAAAGGCATCTTGTAGGTTCGTCTTAAATGGGCCGAACTAATAAAATACTAGTCCATATGAACTTTTCTGGTTTTTGTTAACCCTCAAGTTAGAGTTAAGAAATCTATGTTAGCCCATTTAATAACCCTAGTTAAGATGATAACCTGCAGGTGAAAATTGGGGTGGACAATGAGTTTACTCTGATAAAGGGATAAGTCTCTACTTGGACACTAATTCACAGCATGAAGAAAAGTTACAAATTATTCGCCACAAGTTAGTTTATATATATTGGGAATAATCAATTTACATCAATGTAATAATAACAAATTTTATATGAAATTTTATTGGTAATCAACTAGCATTTGACGGTTCTAATTTATTAGCTAAGTGACGAGTATAAAATGATCATTTTCACACACACATATATATATATATATATATATATACGAATTAATATTTCTTATGTTACAAGAGACAAAGTTATCTCCTCTACATATATAAAAGTGTACGAGATTCATGTAGGTTTATGTCAGGAGAAAAGACAGAAAAAGAAAATATGAACTCCACATATTTTTATGTGTGTATAGGAGTAAAATTTATTTCATACAATATCAGAAATAATAAACATATGTAACAGAATATTGTTTCTTATGTTACATGAGATAATTTATCTCATGTAACACACAAAAAAGTGAGTGAGATCCACTTATTTTTTTCTCTCTTCTCCTTAATGGGTCCCACCCACCCACCTACCCCCCCACATATATACTATGATGCACCGACACTGACACGAGAAACGACACGACACGACACAACGACACGTTAATTTTAAAAAATGTTAAATTTCGACATATTAGAACACATTTTGATATTAAATAATATTTTAAATATATATAATATAATTTACATTTAATACATATAATAATTCATAAAAAGTCATACAACCAGTAAACATCTTGAATAATTTATCTATAAACATATTCCTCATGAGTGTGTTAAAGGTATTGATTATGGAACTTATAATATTATTTATAAAATATTTTTGATTATTCAATATAATTTAAAATATTTGTCATTTAACATAATATATAATAAGTAAGATGGCCAATAAACAGCCTTAATTTTATTTCAAAACATAAATATATTCAATTATATTACTCATTACTAGAATATTAAAAATACTTATTTTATAAATATTTGTTATTTTTTTTAACAAAGTGATAAAGTAACTGAAAGGCCCGAACTATCCTGCTGAAAATAATGGTTGCACAGTCCTTCAAGCCTAACTCTATTGTTGTCATATTCTAACTAACCTCGTTTAGGTCAAGTAATAGTGGTAAAAGGCTAGGCTAAGCTTACCATCAAAATCAATAGGGCTTGTGCAGTAGCTAAAAAAGAAAGTAGCTTTTGCAGCTCAGTAATCACTACTCACCAGTCTTTGACACACTCAAACCTCATTTTTTTTCTTTTCACCACTTTCTCTATTACCCCTTTCCTCTTTTTCCCCGTATCTTGTAGGGTTTCCATCATCTTCTAGCTCTGCTATTTCTCATGCATTTTTGCTTTCAAGAGTTGTTTGTTGTCGTTATAGTCACTAGCCAGTGGTCATCGAAGCGTAGCGGAACCCAACCGTGAATGGCTTTGCTGGCGACGGCACTGAGCCAACCCGGCCAGCCAGCTGCCACATGTTCGCCTTGCATGTACTTGTTCAGGTTCCCTCAACTTGAAGCTCAAGGCCTCGTAGGCAACAACACCATTGGAGCTCGCTTTCCCTTACTCACTGGTTTCACTTTCACTACATTGTTGCGCTTTGACTGTGTGGGACACGGTCAAAATTGCATATTGAGATAGTCAACGTGTTCAAAAAAGTTAACCGCGTGTCGGAGTGTGTTCGAACGTGACGGTGTCCGACACGTGTCAGACACACATTTTTTCTGCAAAATGGTGTGTCAGTTCTTCATAGCACACACACACACAGAGATATATATATATATATATATATATATATATATATATATATATATATATGGGGAGGGTTCTTTTGACTCCAGAGTAAGATTTTTAAGTCTTACTCCAAATCCCAGCCGTTGATGGACGGAAATCAACGGTTGTCATTAATAGTATAATTAATAATTAATTAATTAATATAACTTCCTAAATTATAACCGTTGGATGGACGAAAATCAACGGTTAGAATATAAGTCTTACTCTTGAGTCAAATGATCTCTCCTATATATATATATATATATGGGGAGGGATCATTTGACTCCAGAGTAAGATTTAAAAGTCTTACTCCTCATCCCAGCCCTTGATTTCCGTTCATCCAACGGTTAGCATTTATTTAAAATTAATAATTAATTAATTGTTGTTACTTATTAAATGTTAACCGTTGGATGAACGGAAATCAAGAGCTGGGATGAGGAGTAAGACTTTTAAATCTTACTCTGGAGTCAAATGGTCCCTCCCCTATATATATATATATATATATATATATATATATATATATATATATATATATATATATATATATATATATATATATATATACGGTTCTTTGATACTAGTGTCAAACTTTGAAATTTGACATTAAATCCTAACCGTTGATTTTCGTCAATCAACGATTATAATTTTTGCCAATAAAAATTATTTGTTAATTAGTAATTCCTAATAAATGATAATCGTTGATTAGCGAAAATCAACGGTTAGGATTTGATGTCAAATTTTAAAGTTTGAAACCAATGTCAAAGTATCCTAGCTCTCTCTCTCTCTCTCTCTCTCTCTCTCTATATATATATATATATATATATATATATATAGGGTAGGATATTGTAACAACCAACTAGTGTTACTACCAATGTTACTACAAATCAATTTCACCGTTAGATCGATTATGTTGATCCAACGGTTATATTTATTTTCATCTTTGTATGATTATGATTCCTCATATTTAATGTGAAAGCATTAAATATGAAAAATCATAAACATACAAAGGTAAAAATAAATATAAAATATTAAATATGGGGAATCATAACCATACAAAGATGGAAATAAATATAACCGTTGGATCAACATAACGATCTAACGGTGAAATTGATTGGTAATAAAATCCGTAGTAATACTAATTGGTTGTTATAATATCCTTCCCTATATATATATATATATAGAGAGAGAGAGAGAATATATTTCTCAAGCAGCATGAGATATATTTATTTTCGTCCACCCAAAAACTACGTCGTTTTGTTTATTTATTTCCAAATTAATTGATTCACCTTTGAATGATTATGATTCCCT